GTTTTTGGCTTATTAGGCATCGTCAGCCAGTCATACACCACTCGATGCTGAGGGGTTGACGACACTGTGTAGTTGCTGGCGGGGCTCGAGAATGAGCACCAAGACAGGGGGGAACGAGTGAGTTCCGTTAGCAATCGGTGAATGTTCAACAACAAATGTCAATATCCTTCAGTGGAGATCATGGCTTTCAGTAAAGGTTAGCTGCGAATCAATCAGGCTCCCGAGTCTGGATAATAAGCAGTCATGGACACGGCCGCAATGGGCTGATGTCTGGCACACGGACTGCCTTATAAAATGCTGCAAGTCCCAATGAAGGCACTGGAATATGACGAGTGTGAACCGCCATTAAATAGGTTCGCCTGCCTTGTGGTTAGGTTATGGAGCCAAAGTGCTAGAGGAGACAACCTCGAACAAAGAATCCGAGCGGCTGTTGGGGACTCGCCTCTGTTCAACAACACCCAGAAACTTCACGCGCATGTTCACTTACGCTACTGCGACCCATATTACTGCGTTTGCGGGAACCGAAGTGCTCCGCAACCTTTGCCCAGTGATGCGGGCGAATAATATGCAAGCTGGACTACTCAAAAAACCGACTCTTGGTATTGGATTCTGGAAAGCGCAAACAGTTCTGGAACCTGGTACTTAAAGTCTGACGGCCCATAGTCTCCATCATGTGGATGTTTGCTGCCTGTCCGAATTCCGACTCCCCGATTCAGGCGCCTGATAAATAAAAATTTCGGGAGTCGATTCCCATCTCTGTGTCATAGTGGTCTGCGTGGCTCGCCTAGTAGACACGGTGTAGACATTGTCCTCTTGGAACAAGCAAAACATGCATTACTGGTCTGGGAACCAGTCAACGACGGGCTGGCTTGCGTTCGACTAAAGGGCCTTTTTGCCAACATATCTGTCGTCTCTGTGTGTGCACCAGCATCAGCGGTCGAACAGCAAGATAAAGGCTATTTCTACTCGCAGCTGCAGGAGATAGTTAAAATACTTCGTCACCGTGGTTTGTTAATTGTCGCCGGGGACTGGAATGGCCGGACTGGACCCAGTGATCCGTCAAACAGCCACCTTCTTCATCTTTTTGTGCTTGGCCCTCGAACCGTGCAAGACGCCTTGATGTCGCAAAGCACCGGTAACCCAGCACTACCGAGGCCCTAAGCACAGAAATCTGGTCCCGTCTTACGACCCGAACTGACAGCGAAGGCAGTAGCAAGTGGTCATCACTGAAAATAACCGTCTATGGGGCAACTGTGGAAATTCTCGGATTCACTCAGCGGCGCCGCAATGACTGGATCACCGGAAAAAGCCCACAGGTGTCGGCCCAGACGACTCGAGCCAGGTCCTGCAACTATGCTTCCTTCCGCCGTATCCAAGAGCTGATAGCGAAGTCGGCTAGAGATAACTGGCAGAAGAATAAGTCCGAAACGGTGACTTCTATGGAGCAGGCTTTAAATGTTGTTGACAGTCGAACATTGTACCAAATCATCCGCCAAGCTAGCGGTAAGCCCCAGACACTCTGTGATTTTGTTCGCGATGTGAATGGCGGCTTTATTGCTGACATCTCTACTAAGACCGATCTCTGGCGTGAACACTTCAAGCACCTCCTCAACTTTGCTGAGCAACTCATCACATCCCCACTCTCCTACACAGCGGAGTTTCAACCTCCACCCTACACAGCGTCGTGTGACCTCCCTTCCGAAGAGGAAGTTGCCGATGCAATGTAGAAGCTGTGCAACATCAAGGTGTGCGGAGAGGATGGTATTTCCGCATCGTTCAACAAGTCTTGTGTTACACCCTGGCTCCTCGGATTCATGAGGTGATTGTACAGACGTGGCAAAAAGAGGCCGTTCCCG